TTCATGCCAAAAATAGTAACTAAAATGAGCATGAGGAAGTACTAATACCATTCAAGGAAATATGTATACCACTATTAGAGGGACTTAAATACTTGGAAAAAAACTCTGGAAAGAAGTTTAAGAATAAATAAACCTGATTCTGGGCAAAAAGAAACTTAAAAAAAATTACATGAGGATAGAAATTTATATAAAGAGTGACAAGAAAATAGGCCGGACACAGTTCTTCAAATAATAAGGTCGTCAAAACGGAAGCGAAACTACTAGTAGTAAAAGCTAAAGCTGATGTTTATAAATATCTATGCCATAATACCATAGTACTAAGGGTGGTGAATACGTTGATAGAAAACCAGTTGAATTAACGAAGACAGTAACAGCAATGATCACCAAAATAACGAACGAAAAGTAGTTCAATCAAGTGTGGAAATCTTTATATTGTTCTGAAGCTATTTTCTTGTGGCATTGTAAATTAATTACTATTTAACTGGGAATAAGCCACAGCCACAAGATAAAAATACGTTTATCCATTAAACTAATGGAAATCTTTAGTAGAGACAGGAATAAGTTGGCTAATGTTCTACCAATAGTCTATTTAAAAGAATTGTGGAAGCGGTACAAATGCCAGACGAAATGGATAAGTAGTATATTATCCCTGTTTACAAAAACAAAGATGTCAACAATGCCCAAAATACAAGGCCAGAAAACTACTTACTCACACCATGAAAATATGGTAGAGAGTAATTGGTAGACAGGATTAATGGATTGATTCGATTAATGCAAGACAGATCCACAACAGATGCAGTTTTCATTATAAAGCAGCCGATTTAACAATTCTGAAGAAAGCATCGAATTCTCAAGCGAATTTCCCCAGGGGTTCTGTGGTTCAGGATAACATTACCTGGTGTTTAATGTATGTTGGGGAGAAGCTCCTGAAGTCAGACAAAAATGGATTCTCTGGAATGTTCATTTACAGATTATACCATGAAAGTTATTACTACAACGATAATATCTTTCGATGGTGAAATTATTGTGCAAGTAACAGTTTTAAATACCTAGGATCGATATTACATAGTAATAGGGCAATCGATCAAGATATATGTTAGAGTTACAACGAGATGGATAAAGGTGGCGAGTGGTGTAGTGTGTGATAGAAAGGTTCAAGTAAAACTAAAATAAAACTTCTATAAAACTGCCATAAAACCAGCTATAATGTTCGGAACTGAATGATGAGCAGTTAAAAAAAAAGAGGAACAACGAATGCATGTGGCGGAAATGAGAATGCTTAAATGGATATTACGAAAACTAAATGGACTTAAGCAAGACAGATCCACAGCAAATGCAATTTTCATTTTAGGACATCTAATGAAAAAGACAATGATAATGAATATTATACAAGCGAACCTGGAGGGAAATGAGAATTGGCAAAAAGATGATACGAGGAATCGACTCTAAATGAAGTTTAAGAAGTCAAAAGGAACCAAAAAAATAACAAAAGGAGAAAGGAGAAAGTGATATCCCAGCTGAGATTTTCAAGGAAGGAGACGAAAGACTGTAAGAAAGAATGGAATAACGATTTTATTTGCCCGAGCTGCAAAAAGGCGACAAAACGGAGTGCGAAAACTATACAGGTATAGCACTTGAAATAGTTTCTCAAATACTTGAAAAATTAGTAGGAAAAAATTAACGAATATTGTTCTGAAGCTATTTTCTTGTGGCATTTTAAAGTAATTACTATTTAAATGGGAATAAGCCACAATTAAAGGTTAAAGTGCGTTTATTGACGTTTAAATAATACAAATAAACAAAATACAAACTAATGTTTGTATTTTGAGAACGATTTTCGAAGTGGAAATTGAAACGTCAATAAACGTACTTTAACCTTTAATTGTGGCTTATTCCCATTTAAATAGTAAAAGTTATTGAAATTTGTAAACAAAGTTATCACATAATACTAGGGGGGGGGGGTTTAGACCAGGAAGAATAACTACTGACCAAATAGTATGTTAATATTATTACAAATCTTAGGATTACATAAGTTTTATATCGATTTTAAACGTGCATACGACTGTATAAACCGAAGAATGCTGTATGAGGCCATAAGAACATTATAATTTCCAGAAAAGCTTATGAGGCTAGTAATAATGACGCTTAGGGACACGAGAAATACGGTAACGATGGAAGAAAGCTTTTCAAAGCAATTCACAGTGATTACAGATTTAAAACAAGGGGACCCGATAGCAACGAATTTATTGAACCTAGTATGTATTAGAACAAATCATAAGAAGATCAAATATGACCACAAGCCAGACCATATTCAATAGCGAGGGACATTGCACAGCGTACGCAGGTGATGCGGTGATACAAGGGAGACGAAAAACATTTAGAAATTTTTTTCCAGAAATTTGAAAAAGAAGCGAAAAGATACGGACGAGCAATAAACCAAACCAAAACGCAATAACATAGATGGGCCACGTTATGCGGATGGATGAAACTGATTCGCTAAAATAACCATGCTAAATAGGCCTGTCGGAAGAAGAAGGAGGAGGCGACCTAAACTTAGACATCTGGACGATGGAAGAATGTTTTGAGGCAGGCCAGGGCTTACGAAGGGCTGTAGTGTCAACTGATGATGATACACGGGAATAAACAACAACGAATTTCAATAAAAACTTAATTTTTGTTTTGTTTTGAAGTCAAAACCTCAAAACAAAACATGTAATTTTTATTACAATTCATTTTGGTTTATTCCTCTGTATAAAATGTTCAGGTATAGAAGAGTCTGATGAATTTTATGTTAAAGTAATATTTTATCCGTTATAACTAACAAGCTCTTCTATATTCTCATTAGTACTGGATTAGATAACTGCAAAAGCCAAGGAAATATTCCTGTTGTTATATTTATAATTATAAAGGACCGGTAAAACAAGATAGTTAAAAGGAAAGATTAAACAACAGAAAATTGAAAATTAATATATGAAAAGAAGTCTGTTTTAAAGTAATTAGGCTAGTTTAATCAACCATTAACCAGATCTTTACACTACGACAGATCCTCGAAAAAGCGCAAGAGTTTAACATAGATATGTATCATATTTTTGTCGATTTTAAAGCGGCATATGACAGTGTCTTAAGACCAAGTCTTTACAACGCTATGAATGAGTTAGGAATTCCAAAAAAACTCATACGTTTGATAAAAGTGACAATGGCGAAGATGCTATCAGCAGTAAAAATTCAAAACGACTCGTCAACCCCATTTCAAATACATAGGGGGTTAAGGCAGGGAGATGCGCTGGCGTGTCAGCTTTTTAATGTCGCCTTAGAAAAAGTTGTACGAGACGCTAATTTAGATAGCAGGGGAACAATATTTAATAGATCAGTCCAAATTCTAGCATATGCAGACGACGTGGACATTATAACAAGAACTAGGGCGAGAACTGCGGAAATCCTAACCGAGCTAGTAGCAGCAGCAGAACGAATGGGGTTACATATAAATCAAAATAAAACCAAATTCATGGCGACTAACACAAACACAAGAGCTGGAAATGTTGACACAAATTTAATCATCAATGACCAAAACTTCGAAGCAGTCAATGAATTCATATATCTAGGGACATCGGTTAACCCCAATAATAATACATCTGAGGAAATAAAAAGGCGAATAATAATTGCAAACAGGTGTTATTATGGTCTATCAAAGTACTTAGCTAACAAACGTCTGTCTCAAAAAACTCGTATAAGGCTGTATAGAACACTGATAGTCCCCGTTCTTACATACGGATCAGAGGCATGGACGCTAACGAAAACAGATGAATCCGCTCTATCCATGTTTGAAAGAAAGGTGCTACGCAATATATTTGGAGCGGTCTGCGAGAACGGAATATGGAGGCGTAGATATAACTTCGAACTGCAGAATATCTACAAGCATACGTTTGGTGGTAAAGATATTACCACTATAATTAAGCGAAACCGCCTGCAGTGGGCAGGACATGTAGCCCGGGCCCCTGAATCGAACATGATAAAAAAGATTCTAACAGCGCAACCTGTGGGAATGAGACGACGGGGTAGACCAAAGCTGAGGTGGATGGATGGGGTAACACAAGATGCGGAGAAGATCGGATTCGGCAACTGAAAAATTCAAGCAAGGGACAGAACAGAATGGCGTAGAAAGCTTGAGAAGGTCGAGGCCCTCTAAGGGCTGTAGCACCAAGATGATGATGATGATGATAGGCTAGTTTAAACCTCAAAATAACAGTCACCCAATAAACAGAAGAGCTAAGTGTCAAATTCTCGCAAGGTGGGGAAAAGAAAGACTAATGAAGTGGTTGGAGACAGACCAAACATGTTCATGAAGGAAATTCTTGTTTGACAATTGATTGCCCCAAGTTAAACACCTATGTAGAAATATAATAATAAAAAAGCAAAAGATACTAATGATGAGAACCACAAAATAAATTTCTATATTCAAAAAAAGAATATTTTCTATATTAAAAGAAAATATATTATGCGATGTAATTTTAAAAATAGAATATTTAATCCGGATTTATGTTTTTAAAATGTGACAAACTCTATAATCTGCAATCTGTTGACATATTATATTCATTATCTTACAATCTTACAATACTATCTTACAATCTTACTGTTATAGAATATTAAAACAACATGTATAATGATTTTTATAATATAAAAGATAAATTTAATAGAGAAAGTTATTTTATTTTACATATCTTACCAAATCTTACTACCAAACTACTCTATTCAGACACATGCAAAATATAAATATTAATAAAAAATTGAAGCCATTCAAAAAGAAACTAATCACAGAAAAGAAAATAGAAATAAACACCCTTTATATTTAAGTAATTTCTGAGTTTGAAAAAAATATTTACGTATCTACCGCTCGGTGTGGTAGTATATGAATACTTTTGACAATTAGAAATTATAAACACAAGGGCAATTTAAATTTATAGATCTACAAACTACCACAAAAGCCACAATTCTTCTCAAACCTGAAAAATCGACTGAAGCTTCCACATCCAAGGAACAAGTTCCAATCGAGTCCACGGACCTCTCCATGACGTCATTTGGCGCCGTTGTTGACATAACGGCACTAGCTGCTGTGCATCTGGACAAAGGGGACGCCTTCGGCGTCGCTACGTCACTGGCGTTGGAGATTCCGTCCTGTTGATCGACTGCTGTAATAGGGGCCGGATTTCGAGCAAATGGTTCAGAAACTGCTTTGGTTGCGGAAGTGCTAATTGATACCTGTGGACGGATGATATCCACGTGGTGTATGCTGATCGCAGGTACCTTGACCATAAATACGTTTTACGATATTAAATTAAGAGACGACCCAAATGTTTACTAATGATGGCAAAGAAAAGTGTTTTACCTGATGCGTCAAAGTATTTAATTACAAAAAGTCGCTATTTTTATGAGTTTAATTTTTTTATAAGATCTCTATTTATCTCTATTCATAAGCATTGAAAATATTTTTATTCGGTTACAAATTTTTTTTTTAGTTTTAATCTTTTACAAAACTAAATTTTTAAGATTCTGATTTGTTTCAATATATTCTGATCACGTAACTCAATTACCTACGGTATTTTATTAATTTTATTTTGAAAAATTTTTCACCTTTGTTTACTTACACATTGTAACTATTGCAAATTATGTCACCAAATATCCTTTCTCTATCTGTATTATATTCTTATGGGAGTAGTGAACAACAGTAAATACTTTTTTATACACCAGTCTATCTGGGAAAAATCATTGATTTCATGTAAAAATCGTATACAGATATTTGAAGGTTCTAAAAGGTATATGAAAGGTAGATGAGGAAAAATACTTCAAACGGATTTTAATGACCTACAGCAGATTTTGCTTTGTTTTTATTTTAAACAATCTTAAAAAGTAATAAGTAATTTTTTGCCTATTAAACGTTTTGTGTGCAGTTTAGAGAAAAAAGGTTCAAATACTAATTGTAGATCTTAAAACACTTAATCACATTATGAAAATATGTGAAAAAGTAATTGATAGAGGGATACGTGAAGAAGCCGAAATATCCAATAGTCAGTTTCGCGTTATGCGAGGCAGATCAACAACAGACGCAATTTTCATTATAAGGCAGTTAATGTAAAAATACAGGAATAAAGAAACATACGTTCATGTGTTACTCGTTGATCTTGAGAAAGCATATGATAGAGTTCCTCGGGAGATTCTGTGATGGGCACTTAATAAAAAAGGAGTCCCCGGTGAATATATAAGATTGTAAAACACATATATGAGGAAGTATCAACTAGTGTTAAGAGGCTGATAAATTTCATGTGAAAGTAGGATAACACCAAGGCTCGATGCTTAGTCCTTATTTATTTTCATTAGTTCTGGATCAATTAACAGCGAAACTACAGGGTAATATTCCGTTGTGCTGAATGTATGTTGATGGTGTAGAGTTAGTAGGAAAAAGTGAAAGCGAGTTAAAAAAAAACTGAAACAGTGGAGACAAGTTCTTGAGGAAAACAGTTTAAAATTTAGTAGGACAAAAACAGAGTATTTGGAATGTTCATTTAAAGATGGAGTTTAGTTTTGTTATAAATAAATTAATTTATTTATACTCCAGTCATCAGAGACGAAAATGCCACTGAACCTCTAAAAAGCATACGAACAAGCAGAATTTTTCTGAGAATGTTAATTTTGGGACCCCAAAAAATATGCAAAAAAGTTTACTATTCCTACCCCCGACTTCCTCTTTAACCCTAGATTGTCAGTGTACGTAAATTTGACGTATACGATTTCAAATTTAGCGTGCTGCCTGTTTGATTAAGCTCATCTGCTAGCTATGCTCTCTTCGAACTATATTGTATCCTGTTAGAAGGTTTAGATCCGTAACGGAGTGTCTGTCGTACCAGTTAAGTGGTGAGAAATTTAAAATTTGTTTGTACGTTTATTTAACGTAGCCATGGCAATAAGCGGATACATTTTAAACGTCGAAAAAGCGTATAACTGGCAAAAGTAAGGATTTTTAATATGTTATTTTCTTAGTCTGTAGTTTGTCCGTTTTCTGTACCATATCAATTTGTTTGCGTGCTACATTATTATGAGTAAAAAATTGGAAAAAATTTCGGCGGATACTGATCTTGAATTAATTTGGAAAATGCTATAAAAACTAACCGATGACGCCGAATTTGAGGAGGATAATGTGGCAGTAGAAGATAGTGCAGATTCAGACGATGAGAACCTGGATTACAGTTTGAATGATCCGGATTTTGCTCCTGAGGTTCGTGAAATTGATGATGATATTATCGCTTTTATAGAACAAGATATAGTAACGCGACATCCTCAGCAACATCTGGTAAAACAAAAAGAGCAGAAAAGGAAACTGAAACTGTGAAAAATGTTACAGACTTTGAATTTATAATAAAACCAACTTCAACAGAACTACTATTTGGGAAAAAAGGTACAAATGGAAAACTATTGGTAAAATTTTAAATAGTAAAGTAGTAAATGCCTAAGACGATGCTTGTATATATGAAGCCAAGATCCACACCAATCACAAATTACACTTTCGATATCCGTGAGTGCTTCAATTTATTTAGTAATACAGAAATAAAAAACGAAATCGTTTTACATACCAACGAGGAAATTCGTCGCCAAAGAATGAACTACAAAAATCCCACAGACTCTTCTGTAAAAGACCTGTGCTTAGAAGAATTAGATGCATTATTTGGTGTGCTTATAACGTCTGCTGCGTTGAATGATAACCACCTATCCAGCGAAATATTGTTTAACAGTGAGTATAGCGGTGATAGATACAAAGCTACCATGTCGAGAACAAGGTTTAATCTTCTTATAAATTGTCTAAGGTTTGACGACAAAAATACACGTGAACAGAGAGTGCTATAGACAAGACTTGCACCTATTTCAAAAACATGGGATATGCTATTAATCAATTGTAGGAACAATTATAAACCCAGATCATACGTCACGATAGATGAACTACTAGCTGGTTTCAGAGGTCGCTGTCTTTTTCGTATGTACATACCTTCTAACCCTGGTCGTTATGGAATTAAAATAGTGATGATGTGTGACAATTCAACGAAGTGTATGATTGATGCCATCCCTTATCTTGGTAAGCTAGCAACAGATTTAGGGAAACCAATAGCAGACTACTTTGTTGAAAATTTAGTATCATCAATAAAGAGATCAAATTGTAATGTTACTAGGGATAACTGGTTTTGTAGTGTACCTCTAGTAACAAACTTACTTGTAAACTACAAACTTACTGTTATTGGCACTAGGAAGAACAATAAAAAAGAATTACCCCCCGAATTATGTGATATTCGTTTTCAAGAGAGAAAACCAGGAACATCTTTATTTTTATTAGATCAAAAAGTGTCCTATAAGGCAAAAGCAAATAAAATGGTGATTTTGGTTTCCTCCTGTCATCAAAAACAAACAATAAATGAGACCTCTAAAAAGCCAGAAGTTGTAATGAATTACAACTCAACAAAAGGAGGAGTAGACTCATTTGATCATATGTGCCATAATATGAATTGCAACAGAAAAACTAGAAGATGGCCGTTATGTTTCTTTTATAACATGCTTAACATTGCATGCATTAATGGTTATGTAATTTATCAACATTTTTTACCGAACTAATAAAAATGACAAGCCTTTACTTAGATTTGAATTTATGTTATAACTAAGTAAGAACTTAACACAGCAATGGCAGAAGCAGAGACTGGCGATTTCAACTATAAGCCGTCAGTTGATAACAACCATTAGTAATGTATCCGGAGGAAAAACAGAGCAGCCATCCACCTCAGAAGATGCTGCGGACGCATCTAGAAAGTACTGTTATCTCTGTCCATATTGTAAGAAAAGGATGACAAAAGTAAAATGCCTCATATGCAAAAAGCACATTTGTGGTGAGCATCAAAATAAGAAATGTCCATAGTGTTGAAAAACTGTGAAGAATTTTCCACATCAAGCAAAAGTCTTTGTTTATATTTTTAAGGTACCTACTGTCTTTTTTATTATAAAGATTAGCGTGTTGTTTTTAATTAATCTTAAAACAAACTGTTTTCTATTTTTAACCATTACACGTAAAATTTACGTATGCCTGGCAACAAGCGACTACCGGGTAACGGTGGCAATCTACCCAACCCAACACCCCTTGTAGGGGAAAAACGAAAAATCGATTTACCAAGAATCTGTGTGTCGCAGAAAAAAATATTTTTTTATCGGTACTCCATTTTACTTATTTAAATAAATATGAATAAAATATTACTAACAAATGTTTCAAAAGCTATATTCAAATATTTGAAAATCTTTTAAATGAATGTGAAAAGTACAATTGGTATTGTTTGAAATATTTATACTTCCGTTTATTAAATCAGAGTAAATGCTGTTAAATTAATACTACCGACATTCTTGAAAGCTAATGGGGTTGTACTTTCATTAATTGATTAATCGACGGCTTGTACTATTCCGGCATTTTCTGAAGGTAAGAAGCAGCAGTTCATCTGTATCTGTTACCTTTTGCTCCTCCACCCACTTATTTTTTTCATATATATATATATATATATATATATATATATATATATATATATATATATATATATATATATATATATATATATATATATATATATATATATATATATATATATATATATATATATATATATATATATATATATATTATATATATATATATATATATATATATATATATATATATATATATATATATATATATATATATATATATATAAGCGAGGTTCCTACAGCCTCTGCCGTTTCTCGCATTTCGACCGCCATCGTTTTCTGTCCATCCATTCGTCTTCTCTGATGGCTCTATCTCTCATTATGTGCCGTACATTTTCTTCCCAGGCAACTGAAGGCCTTCCCCTTCTTCTTCTTTGTTGTGGTATGTAATTTAAAGCTTTCTTTGGCCATCTATCTTCATTCATTCGTTTCACGTGACCATACCACACTAGTTGTCTCGTTTCAATTCTATCTACACTGGAATATACAGTATTTGTCCTCCTTCTAATATCTTCATTCCTGATGTGATCTTTTTTGGATATACCACACGCTCTCCTTAGAAAATCCATTTCTACTACTTCTATTCTTTTTCTATCCTTCTGCGTTATCTGCCAAACCTCTGCCCCATAAGTCATAATAGGCTCTACCAAGGTTCGATAGATTGTCAATTTCGTTTCTTGTCTAATATCTTTAGACCAAAGTAGAGAGTTTAGAATGTTTACCACTTTTTTTCCTTGCTGTGTTCTGTTTTCGATGTCTCT